CTGGGGAAACCACTGTCAAAATTTTGGCGCCGGAGCTTGCTTGATTTTCGAGTTGAAATACCCGGATACATGAACACATACACACACACACACACACACACACACACACACACACACAGGCAGGGTCGTTGCAATATGCGTTTTTGCAATTTGCATGTAAGCAAAAATATCATACTTTATTATGCGAAAGCAGAAGCGTGGAGAGATGTGGCAGTGAGCCAACCGCAGATGGGAGGCTTCTGAGTGCATTTGTTGACAAATCCAGAAACTGCAGCTCCTTTAAATGACCAATATCTTCCGGGATATCCACTAATGCATTGCTGTGCAAGATGAGCTTCGTAAGCCTTAGTGCTCTGCCCACAGATCGATGCAATACTGTAAGGCCAAGTCGTGTAAGCTCAGCATAATTTAGCGGAGTTTCCTGAAATATTCGTTGTCAGATATTCAACAAAAACTGTAAAATTACTGTTATCTCCAAAACCGAAATTCCACAGAGCGTAAAAAGCTGAATGAAACTGTGGAGCAAAATGGTAGTAAATTCACTATAACCCCAGTGCTGATACTCTTGGCTAAAACGGCATATTCTGACCAAATTGGCGTTTTCTTTTTCTAAACCATCCATGAAGCTTTTCACCGCTTACGTAACACCTGGAACCTGCCCTAGACAAAAACTGAAGCTGCGACCTTCACTGCTCGAACCCGAACCCAAAAACGATAAACGGCTTTTGAACCTTTTCTCTGCCCTTCTCCCCCCTTCCTCGCTCCTCATCTCCATTTTCCTTTCTCCCATAGTAAAAAAAATCCTTTGCGTTTTTAAATACATAATTCGCTTAAATGACATTTTGTTGTTTTAGTGCTAGAAAATTTTCGCACGGAAGAGCTATTTATCTCTTCACGTGATCCATCGCTTCCGAACTGAGGTTATTTGCAACAAAACGTCTTATCTCACTCTTACCTTCTTTTCTCAAACTGTCCCTTTATGCTATCACGTTTCGCCATTTAGGCTTCCAGGGTCAATCTGGTTGCTACAATAGGCATACCAGTTTGTCGTGTTTTTTTTTATTCTCTGGCTAATTTCCAATAAATAAGTTTGCATTAACATCTACAGAATAGTAATTTTGACGTAAAAATGGTCGGTCACTCGAATTTTACGATTTCACCATTCCGTACAGAATCATCGATGAAGTATAAATGAAACTACAGAGCACAAGAACAACAGATGCAGGCCAGTGAGGCTCACCGGAGAAAACAATGCATTCTGTAACTGTTCGTCGTTAATGTCCGGATGCCTGCCGGGAGGGATCGAATTCAGACTGATTTCACATCGCTTCCCGGCAATAGCTCGTCTGATCTCCGGCCATTCCGATAAAACACCATCAGCAGCAGCAGCAGCTTCATCGCCCATTGCCTCCCCGAAGTGCCTGTATCCGAAACATGCACAACGACGAATCGCTACAAGCATTAAGCAACGGGGGGCATTTTCCAGCAACAAAACTCTCCTACAGATGAATGAGGAGGAGGGCTGGGTACAAGGGGAAGTACAAGGGCGGAGAGGGAGAAGGCAAAAAAGAGGGGTCACAACCTGCATGGTTTAGCTGTACTAGACATTTGCATATATTTTTTATCAGCTCAGCCTCAGTTATCAGCTATGCAGCTAGCCTCTACCAAAATGTTCCCACCAGACGCTACATCGACGGTATCAGTTGCTGCTGCGCCTCACCCTCACCACCCAGCTCTGCCCGGCCTCGTCAATCCAAACCTCCACAGAACGTGCAACTGTCAAAACTTGGTTCGACCGGGT